TGTTGAGGAAACAGGGCGCCCCCGATTCGGGGAACCTCGCGAACGGCGGCGGCAGTAACAACCACCAAAGGCGGCACACGATCAATTCCGTCGCCGATTCTAGCACTGGTAAATTACGTCTTGTTCTATCGGTGATCCTCGCCGAACCTACAAATTTGATCAGTTTCGTCTAACATCGCCGTCTGTCGTCTTTAGGTAATAACATTTCACGTCAACTGTCGACAGATTCGGTTTCGAGTTTGAATTCACTGTCGTCGGCGTGCAGCGCGTCCAGTTCGGCACAGCAGTCCGAGGCCGACAAGAAGAAGAAAAGAGGATGGGTACGACCAAACATATCCGTATGATGACTAGATTTTTAATCGATGATTGGTGTTAAAAGAAAGAAAGAAAAACCTGACACCCCGCCCCGTCCTTTCTTTTTTTGTAACTTTAATATTATTCAGTGTTGAGAAGGTGCTCGTTCCAAAAGAAAAAGATTCCGGGAACGAGTTATTTTTGTAAGAGCAACTGGATTTGGCGAGAGTTTCTTTTTCGAACAAGGATCTCTGGAACGAGTTCTTATTTTTTTAAATTAACGTGGAACCGAACGAGATCCTTTCAAAAAAGAAGTTTCATAACACTGTAACATGTTACATATTATGTGTATATATTTTTATATCTTAAATGGACCTATGTTCAATTTTTTTCGAGATTCGTTTTTCTGTCTTGTTTTGACACCGTTCGATTTAGAACTGCGAAAATTAACGGCAACGGGCGCATAAAATAATTTGTAATAACTAATTTTTCAATTGGAAATTATAGCTGCGCAGCTCTTTTAGCAAGGCGTTCTCTCGATCCAAAAAGAATCGCAGTAACTCATTGTCGGATGCCGAAGAAGCTCACATCGCTCGAAACCATCAGAGTGCTTTCCTATCTGACATGTCTGCACCATCGTCGCCGATGCTCAACACTCCACATTCAAACGGATTGGGTTTCAAGAACAGCCATTCGTCAACGACGTGCGTGCTTTAAATTTTGTGTTTGGTCAATTTTTTTACTTATTGTGTTTATTTTATCATCATTTCTAGGAGTTTGTACGATTGCGATAGAGCAGAACACGACTCAAGTCCAGAAATGGTGGAGCAACTGAGAAAACAGCTCAGAGAAAAAGATCTCGTTCTTACAGACATTAGATTAGAAGCTCTAAGTTCAGCCCACCAACTTGAATCCTTAAAGGACACTGTGATTAAAATGAGGGTATGTTATAACTTATAAGTGATAACTATAATAATATATCTTAATATTGTTTTCATATTTCTCTTGCGTGTTTTTTTTTAATATTGAAATAATTTTTACAGGATGAAATGTTGAACTTGAAGCAAGACAATGAAAGACTACAAAAAATTGTAACCAATCAATCCCTTCAGTCTAGTTGTAGTTCTCTACAGTCTCCACCAGTATCAAATCACACTCAAAGTAAATTTTTCATCAATAAATATATAAAACTTATGTTTTTTAACATTAAATGTGTTGTTTTTTTTAGGTGATGAAGGGACAGAAGCATTATTACCCTCATTAGATTCAGACGCTATGTTAGTCCAACTTAACGTGTTCCTTGGTAGTCATGGTAGTTACAATAAGTATAAAGAAAATAAGACTAAAACATGCATAATATCTGCATTACCTATTTCACCAAAATCAAAATGGGATATGGTTGACCACCTTGTCGTTAAAGGATTCAAAGTAAGAATCTTATTTTTACTAAAAATAATAGTATTATCCTTTCTTAAATTCTTGAACAATATTTTAAACTTTGAAAATTTTAACTCTTTTAAGGATTATGTGGAACGTATTGATCCGATGACCAAATTGGGACTTTGTGTAGACTCAATATGGAGTTACCATGTTGATGATATAACACGATATATATCAAATACAAAAGAATATAAGCCTCCTGATAAGTCCCCATACGAATGTATGACTAATGGTTCAAATATCTCTATTTGTCTCAAAGGTGCCATGCATTCAGGAAGTTTAGACGCTCTAGCGTTTGATACCCTCATACCAAAAAGTATTCTCCAAAGGTACTAGTTGTATTTAACTGAATAATATATTCAACATATTTTTCAAGAATACTTACATAAAAAGAAACTTTTCTTTATCCATTTACTAAACACAACATAATATGTCATACTATGTTTTAGTGTTAATTATTGGAATTTAAAAAAAACTTTATTTATATAAGTATTTTGCTAATTTGTAAACACTTAAAAAATAGTAAAATAATTTTGTATTTTTCTTTATTTTTTTAGATATGTTTCATTATTAAGTGAACATCACAGAATTATATTATGTGGACCTAGCGGTACTGGCAAGTCTTATTTATCGAATAAACTTTCCGAGTTTCTAGTAATGAAAATGGGAAAAGAATGCAATTCTTCAACTATAGTTACTTTTAGGTTAGTACTAAAGTGTTAGATTTGCAATATTTTATACAACGTTTAAAACTAATTAAAATAATGTTCTAGCGTTGATGAGAAAAATAATAAAGATTTGCAACAATATTTATCCAAAATATCTGATCAAGCTGATAGTGACTCTTCCCAAATTCCGTGTGTTGTGATCTTAGACAATTTACATAAAGCGTTGTCTTTACCAGATGTGTTCAATGGTTTTCAAAGTCCAAAATGTCCGTATATAATAGGAACTATTAATCAGTCAACATGTTCAACAACTAGTCTTCAACTACATCACAACTTCAGATGGGTGCTTTGTGCCAACCACATGGAACCAATGAAAGGATTTCTTGGTCGTAATTTGAGGCGTAAACTTGTAGAACATGAATGTCGACTTGGCCAAAGAAATGCTCAGCTAAAACGTATTGTAGAATGGATCCCTGAAATTAGAAATCATTTGAATCAGTTGCTTGAGACCCATAGTTCGTCTGAAGTTACATTAGGTGATTTACACAAGCATAGATTTTATTATTTTTAAAATTAATGTACTTGTTTCTAATTTTTCTTCATGTTCTAGGACCTATTTTGTTTGTTTCGTGTCCAATGGACTTAGAAGCATCTCAAATGTGGTTTTCAGATTTATGGAACTATTCTTTGGTTCCGTATGTAATGGACATGATTCGCGAAGGCATTAGATTGTATGGAAAAAGAGCAGCTTGGAAAGATCCAGCTTCATTTGTCATTCAGTCATATCCTTGGTCTAATGCAGTGCATAAAACCATAGAATCGTTCATTAGAATACGACCAGAAGATGTTGGCTACGACATAGAACAGGATAACGATCCATTGGTATAGTTGATGAATTGATTATCTGTAATCAGGGTAGGGACTTTATGCGCTTGAAATCAATAATCATTCCATTTCTTCTACATATTGTGCACATATAATATAAGTGTTCTTAATATTAATTACATTTAAAATATAGTACAGAGTCTCACTGATCCAAACTTGATGTGACCTCACTCTTTCCGAATTAAATAGAATGATGTTTAAAATAGCTCTCAGATGAGATTTAGGTGGATAAGGTATTTTACCTTTATTATGAGAATATTACTTATTTATCAATTATCAATATTATACATTTAGATATCAATAAATGTTAACATAAATAGTTTGTATGTGTATATGTACAATATAAAATAATATACATACTTAATTTAAATAATTGATTGTCCTAATAATTAACCAGATGTGCGAACTAGTGAAGACTGAATGAGCTAGACTATTATACATTAAAAAATCGTAAATTTATTCAAAAAGTTTAAAGTAAAAGTAAATTATTGATAGTTAATGTTATTTAATATTTTCTCGATAATATAAAACTGAAGCAATAGGGATGTGGATGATATGTTTGTATATAGTTTCCAATTCAATTTTTTAATATTATTTTAATAGAGATATTAGTATAAAACACATTTTAAACAAGTTTCCATCATAGGAATAGTCAAATATGGATCTTGACTTTTTGGAGTTTTTAAAAAATTAAAATGCATAAAGTCCCAGTTAAGCTTATATTCTCAATTTTTCAAGTCTATACTAATACGTATATTTTCCATACATTTAGTTAAATATGTTGATGACTCTTCGAGAAGCTGCAAATTACTCTAGTCCTCAAAATGACACTGACATGAGCTTGCCTAATAGTAATGGAACTTTGGCAACACTATGAACGTACTCATAAAAATATATTTATTTGTGATTTTTATAATTTATTATAGTTTTTAAGTTGTGTTTACCAAAATGTATTACTTTTTGGTAATCGAGTCCTAATGACGTTATGTTTACCAAATAATAATAAATCTAAATGGCCCAATAGGTGCGTGGCAGTATATTGTTTCATATTAATGAAAAAAAAAAACATTTCTAAGCTCAACATTTTATACAAACTAATTTATTTTTATATTTTTAATTATTCAGTTTGGCACAGACAATAAATTTTAATTTCAAAAGACTAAATGACTGCCTTTTAAGTTATTTTAAATTCACTTTTATTACACTATATTATAATTAACAGAATACAGATAAAATGTGCTCAAAGACAGTCATGATTATTTTTAAAACAAATATTGCAATTCGTAAAATATTTCAAAAATATTACATTATTTATTTATTTATATATATTATCTTATTTGAACCGTCCGAAAATGTACTTTTGTAACAGTTTAAATACAATAATTTTTCTCTGTAAAAATGTAAAATCAATCTAAATTTTTGTATTGATTACAATTTTTTTAATGTATTGATTATTTGCTAACTTATTGTTTCCAGATTTTAAAATAATAAATAAAACATCTTTATTAGTTGATAAGAAAAAATTATAAAATTGTTTACTAAATTTCCTGGTGCTTTCTTACTATAGTTGATTTGCTTATTATTACTTGTTAATAAATAAAAATGTAGATAATTACCTTGCTTAATATACTGTTATTGTTAATATTAAAAATTGCTTTTGTATTTATAAACAATATTATTCTGTATCAATATATTGTATGTTTTTTTTTTTATATATATCATGTAGTACAAATTTTTATTTGTTAATAAAAGAAAAATAAATTATACTTTCTAGTTTCTACTATTATAAATGTGACCGTTATACTTTCTATCATGATTACTGTGTCTTATATTTTTATTCCGAGTGGTCCTAAAATTTTTTTTTTATAATCAGATAAATAATATTGAAAAAAAAAATTATAATATATTTTACACTTACATTAAAATTTGATATGTATTCCAGAGTATCTGCTGTAGAAGATATTGATGTGTTTATTGATGAAAAATTCTACAAAATTAAAGAAGATTTAATTATATTGTAATGCATGATGTTTAATGTCAACTACCAACCATGGTTATATTTTCTTTTGATGTAAATTGTATCTCCTCGGAGTGTGTGTTGTTAAATATTACAGTGCCATTTTTTTGCTTTGTGTAGTTTTCTTCATAATGAATTGCATTGGAACTGTCTTGTGACCAACTTATAAATTTCTGTTGAATGGAAACTAGTTTATTGGAATCCAATATTGAATTTGATGAAAAAATGCTAGTGTCACTAAATGTAGGGAAACTTGAATGAGACATACTCCCCTCATATATTTTCCGATCTTCATAATTATTAAGTTCATTAGAGACTTTTGAGGAAGAATTAATACTTAAGATGCTAGACTGTTCTCTGTTATTATTCTGTGATTCCACATTCCAACTATTCACATTTTTTTCCCCTGTATAATAATACTCAAAACTTGAATCTTGTTCTATTTCATTATGATGTATGTTTTTACTTTGTTTATGTTTAATTTTTGTTTCTGTGTGTGATGTCTTATCAAAATCAGAAAATGAAATTTCATTAAAAGTTTCACTTATCCTAGTCCATGATTCTGAAGTGGATTTCTGGGTATTGTATTTAGTTTGTTTTGGATTTGATGTTTTTATATTAATTGATGGACTTGTTTTTGATTCTCTTACTAACCTATTCTTTTTGAAAAGTGAAGTATTTTTTTTAAGCTTTCCGCTAAAACTTTGTTTTATTACTACCGTACTACTTTTTTCTTTAAATAGTATTGATGGTTTCTTTAAATCTGGTACTTGGTGTTCTACTTTTTTCAAATAGTCTTCAAAATAAACTGAAGTTGTATTTGTATTGTTAATTTTAATTTCTTTCCTGTCATATGATTCTTCACTAGCAATGTTGCTTACTTCACAACTACTCATGTTTGATTTTGAAATATAATTATTGTATTGAAAATGTTTAGGATCCCTGCTAATAAAATATACATCACTCTGTACATTGTTTGAATAATTCAGTTTTTGTGTGTCTTCACTTTGTACACTAGATAATATTTGTTGTGTAGTGTTCAAAATTTCAAAACCGCTGAGTTCTAATTTTCTTGGTAATAACGCTCTTTGTTTGTTATATGGAAAAATATTATTTTTTTCTATGTTTCGTTTATTCATTATACCATCTCCATCATTATATGAATCAATTAGCAAATTATAACTTTCTTCTTGAATTTGTGTTTTTATTGGACTTAATAATGGAGTAATTTCAAAATTGTGTACTTTTTTTATGTTTGGAGTACTACAAATTAATTTCAGGTACACTAAAGATGATGTTGAAGTTTTATTTTTACATTTTGAACCTAAATAGATAAATAATTTATCTTACTTGAGCCCTTGTGACTTAGTAACCAAGTTACTAGTTACTACTCAATAATGAATAAAAATAAAATTAAGTAGAAGTACTCACTAGGATTTATTACTGTTGGGTTACGCACAACATTGCATAATAAAGGAGTTTTTTTTGGATACCTTACAGGATAATAAGGCTTGTATTTTTTGTAAGCATTTAAGAAACATCTAAAAACATAGGTAAAATTTATATCAATCTACAATAATTTAAATTTGTTTAAGTAACACAGATATTTATTGAATTAATATTTTAGTTAGGTATCAACAATATTTCCAATATATTTTCATATTATATTGATCCAAGTAATTTTCTAACAGTTCAGTCCCCTTTGTAGCGATGTGACAAGAGGAAAAAAGGTACCTTTACTGCCTAAATCTTAATAGAATAAGAAATCTAAACCCAATTAAATTGAGGGTTTTTCAATTGTATCTGTATGCTTAAAGAAAATAATATATTTCGAGTTTGTGATAGACGATAGTTAACTTCATTTTATATTACCTAACTGTAAGGTGTATTATTGACCCTTACGGTTTTACTCATATTATATATAATTATATTATACATGCAAATTTGTCCTCCACTCTCCAGTGTACCTCATGGTGGTGACTTTCCCCTTACTATAATACTATACTTTTTGTTTATTAATAATGTTAACAGGATTTTATATGTTTCTCAGTTTCTGATGTTTGTTGATATGAAAATATTTGTATTAACTAAATAGGTAAACGATATATTTATAATGAATCATACAAATGATTACTATTATGTCCTCTTCCTGAATGATTTAAAACGTGTACCTACCTACTTTTCCTGGGCTAAAACCCTAAAACTTTAGGGGCGAGGCACGTTTGGGCCAAGGACGTTTAGGTCACTAATAAAAATGCAACCTGTTTGGACCAGGATTTTGTGAACCCGTTTGGGCCAATTTTTTTTTTAGTATATTTTAAATAAAAAACTTCTAAATAATTACTAGAAAGCTCGCTAAGGCCCGTTTCACATGGACGAGTATCGTACGCGCACGCTTTTAGTTTACATTGGTTAAGTTTATACGCGTCGTATCGGCGAACAAAACGCGCCATCGTCGGAGTAATAAGATGTCCAGTTAAACTGTGTAAACTAATTTGTAATTTGTAGATTATGTACAGAGCAAAATTATTTATAATTGATAACTGACCAAAAACCCACAGTTATACGTGTAATACAAATGTAAAAAAATACATTTTCGTAATTCAGTGGACTCATATTTAAAAAATTAATAATTTGACAAATTGTATATTGTACCTAATGTACCTGTTTATTTTTTAATATTTTTATCTTTAAGCCGAAGTAATCATATATATTTGATATTATTATAAAAAAACAATAATAATAATAATAAGAAGAAACGGCATTTTTAACCATGCCAAAGATAGTCCTAAGCCTGTTAAAAATAAAATGGGAAGGAAAATGCTGGTCCAAACGAGTTGTATACAAGTAATATTTTTTAGTCCAAACGGGTCTTTAAAATTGGTCCAAACGAGCTGTGTTTTAGAAAAATTGGTCCAAACGGGTCCTTTAGCTTTATCCTTAACTTTAGTCACCCCAAATCCTATTTAAATTAGGCCGTAGCACGTTTGAGCACGTAACTACGTACCTAAGAATGTTGTCAAAAATGTACCTTAAAATATTGTAAACTAGTTTAGATGCATTTATTAAAACACATTAGGACTTATGGCGTATACCTATAGACTAAAATGAAAGACACACTTGGGTGATAAACTGCTAAACTATGGATAAAAGTTTTAAAAATAAACAGCATTGGGATGAAATAAATAGGTACGTTTAAGAAAAGATACCTAGGTATTAAAGAAAAATTATAGTGTGCAGATACAAAAACGTTAGTCAAATTATCAAATATAAAAAAATAAAATAGGACTTCATTTTTTGCAAAAAAAATATAAATTAATCGTTTAAGAATAAATAGTATGCGGGGAAATATTATGACCAAACAATGTATGAATTTACGCCCTAAAGACTATAGCGTTGTATTTTGGGAAAATACTCCAAAACGTATTCCTCCCTTACATTCTTATACTTAATAATTAATAATTCTGTTTCATCTCAATCAATTTATTGTTCATTCCGTAATATAGGATTAATCATTACTCCTGCATTTAGTCCTAACCTGCACATTGAAAGTTCCTGCTACAAGGCACTAAAAAAATCAAAACCTTAGGTGTCATTAAGCCATAGTCAAATAAGTTCAAATAATCTACACGACAACACTATTAAAGGCTATATATTGTGCATACATGAAATCAATATTGGAATATGGGTCAGTCATCTGAGGCCCTAATGCAGGGTGCAGCTACAGATTTTCGTCAACTTGGTCACTTGGAAGAATCTAAAGTAATTTTTTTGTAGGTTTTCCAACTATATTCTTAAAATGCATTACTATTACTACATCCTACTCTCCTATGACACATCTACTCTTCGTTTGTTTAGCTGACCGTAGGAACAAAACTAATAATTTTTGTTTCATTAAAAATGTGCTGAATGGCAATATCTACTCGTATTCTCCTATATTATATCAATATAAATTAAAGCACCTTATTTAGTCGTTCTGAAGTTCTGTTCCATTCTACATCCCTAACATTCTTATTATGGTATTCCATCATGGCATTTTAGTATGTTACAACTTACAACCCAATTTAGACCGGTATTATTTTGTTTCAAACACTTCATCGTTTCAATCTAATTATCTACTATAACCTAAGATGTTATTTAGGCACCTTAAATCTACTTCCTAAATTACCTAAATTACTTTTTATTCATAAAAGCTTAGTGACTGTAGCTACTTACTTATTCGGTTCACCACAAACAGTGGGTATTCCTAAAACTTCATATGTTTTTCCAAGTATTTGTTTATCTGGCAGAAAGCTATAACATTTTTTTATGTATGCCGTACTCCGAAGTAATATATTTTCTAACAAAGGTAGCCTTTGGAATTTAGGAATATTAAAATGTACTGCCCATATAATTGGTTCAAGTGGTGTACAGCAATCATTATTATTATATTGCTGTGTGATGTACAGTATAAATTCATCTTTATTCATCATCAAGTTTAATAACTCTGCTTCATCTAAAGTTAGGTAGATATGTAATACTTATTATATCATTTCGACTTTAGAAATTTGTAAAATTGTATAATAAGTAGGTAGGTATATTACTATATGTCTATATCCTATATTAGTTATAATGTTACATATTCACTTGCAGATAGTAGTAAGATAATTTAAATTGTATGACATTAGGACGTAGCTCCATAGAGCTACTCAGCTGCAGTATCAATAATTAAGCAGTTAAAATATTTTTTTTCATATTTCATTGTCATATTTTTACGCACAACAATAATTTTCTCATGAATAAAAACTCAATAAGTATACTTTCTTAAAATTTTATTTGATATGGGATATTTTTGAAAAATGTTAAAAAATGTATAAAAACCAATTTCAATCTTTTTTTATTTTTTGTCGTGAAATTTGTCTATACTAAACCCCTTTAAAGCGTTAACTTTGGCATTAATTATTATTTATTACTGTGCCTGTGTAAATCTGTATTTTATTCATCAAGACATTGAATTAACAATGACGACTTACAAAGTAAAACACATTATTTTCAAATTCAATTTTAATTTTAATTTTCCAAATTGAAAATAATAATAGCAATTCTAACATTTTATATCGCCTTTATTTCATTATCTTTATAAGTTTTTTGTTGTACCTCATTCAGCTCTTATGCAAATGATATGTGAAAATTTCTGTCAAAAAAAGTTTTGGCCTAACATTTAATTGAGCTTATCTATTTGATATTATATATATATGTACATTTTGTTTGCGCAGGTGTAGTATAAAAAATATGCACTTCTTATCGGAAAATATTTTATTATATATTTATGATGCCGTGATGGATTTGATTTTTTATGAATATCATATAATATTACAAAAATATTAGATGGTCGATTAGGGAGTCAAATAAAAATTGTGGAAAACAAAATGAAAACCCTTGTAGCGATCCAGTAATTTGAATTGCTCTGCTCTTGCATGGATGAATTTATAAACTTAATGGCTTTAGTTTATGTCTATTACCTACTCTATTAGGTATACAATTTTTTAATGATTTTTTCTTCATTTATAACTTTTATGCGACAAATCAAGTTATATATTTACAGGGCCGGCGCAAGAAGTATTGGAGGCCTGGACGAAACCATGTTTTGGCGCCCTTAACAAGCCCCCCCCCCGCCTAGTTTGAGTAGTAGTAAAATTAAATTTTTTAATTATAAGTTAAATAAAATTAGTATGTATCATAAATTTAAAAACAATAAATTCGAAAACAATAAATAATTGTGTGTGTCAGATAATTGTGTCTTTTTGATTTACGCTAGACTGCGTTATTTTCGCCGAAAGGTCCGAATGGGTTTTACCGCCGCGGTTTTTCTAACAAATCTAGGTGTAATCGTCTAGTTTTTTAAATTTATTTATAAATCGCTGAATATATTATGAAAATAATTATTACGACCATCTATACATTTTATTGACCCACACAAATGCGGTGGTATGCTTCCATGATCCATAGTTCCATGTATTATTTTTACATCAAAACCAGAGGTATCGAATATCGATACACTGTTTTATTCTTACATTATACAAATATGAAACAATTAAAACGACATTAGATAATTAATATTTCAAATTGTACAGATTGTTAATGAATATTAAAAGATAATTTAAATAAACATAATTTTCAGTTTGGCGCCCCTTCTGCAGTGCTGGTGCCCTGGGTAGTCGCACAGGTCGCCCATAGCTTTCACCGGACCTGTATATTTATTATAAATTACATACCATAATTTTCAAACATGTCTGTTGCAGTAGG